AAACAGATCTTATCGAAATTTTATTATTATAATATTAGTTGAATATTGATCAAATAGCATAGAAAAATAGAGCGAAAGACGCTCTATCTGTTCATTAAAAGAGAAATGTTTTTGAAGCGCTCCTTAATAAAATAAAGTACCTCCCTCACTACTTTTGGATTGCCCTAAGTAGTTTATTTGTTCGTCTACTGGTAAATGACACATATAGTTTTATGTTTGCTCTATGTAGTTTTGGTGCAGCTTTTTATGCATTGTTCCCATTTGTACCGACCAAAAACTATGAATTCGCTGCATTTCAGTCAGAGAAGATACTCAATATTCCGGAACGCACAATAATACATGAACTAACTCAAATTTTGGTATCTTGCTTTCTTACTCAGTTGTGGTCGAAAGCTAGACAAAAAAGTTTTTTGAAATAGTTGCAAGATTTTTTTGTATATAGTGTCCTTCAGTATATTTTACTCCAATCTTACAACAGGTTACAAAATGTACTTATTAATACTATTTATCGGCTAATGTGCGATTCTGGGTATTACCAAGGTAATATGGGATAGGTTTTCTTTCAGAAAAGAAAAATCCAGCCAGAACCATTGAAAATATCCATATTGTTTGTTACAAAATGTATCTTAGCCTCACTTTACCTCCTAGCCCAAATATTGAGAGTTATACATTATTTTTTATCATCGAAATCAATTACACAAGAACAAGGATCTGTTATGTTTATCACACCCATACTTGTAATTATTACAGTGGTAAGTAAATACCCATTACTTTCGTTTATACAATGCTTACGATATCTTCAGATCTATAGTTTTCCCTTTCAGTTAAACAGTCTATGGTTAATGAACAATGAGCGTACCGAAGGAATGTTTTGTTCGGGTTTGTCATTTTCATTCTGGTTACTATCAACATTTGCTATTATACCAGATTTAGTCATTTATACAATTGAATTTAAACGGGTAAGTAATCTCGGTAACCATAAGTTGGATCTTTACAAAAATTTCAGGGAATGATGACTATGTCAAACTATGACGACAAAAGTTCTTTTAGACTCGATCCGTCATAGTTCGTCGGTGCCCACTTTTTGAATATTTACGTTATTAGTTTGTTCAAAAATACAAGAAGCCTTTGGAAACTAAATCCCCTCCCAAAATAGAAGGTTACCCCCAGGTCCATGTTTCAAAGAACATATAGGAATAGGGAGTACTTCCTTCTGTTGATAGCCGGAGTAAAATTCAAGAATCCGACTTCATCAACCTCTAGCCGCGCCTATATGTCTCATTTTGACCAGAAACGTTTGTACTTCAAATCTCACGTCTACACGTTCTAGAAACGTTTAATTGCATAAATATTCAGAAAAAACCTGTTATTCGAAGATCGTGTTTTTCGAGGCTTTTAGAAAATTCGATCAAAAACCGTGGAAAAATGATTTCTAGAGCAGAAAGCGATACAGATTCTGAAAGTATCAGTCATAACTATTCGATCATGAACTTGTGTACACCGTGTTCCAAATGCCGGCTGAAATGGCAAACATGTCTGACAATTCTCAATGAAATTTCTCATTTTACCCAACTTAATTTCATGGATATTTTCGTTTCAGGATAGATTTTTATTAAAAGAATTAACTCGTATTTGGATACAATTTTCACTCTCATTACTGTTATTTATAGCAAACTGTTTTGCGGAACCTCATGATTTTCGAAAAACACTTGGAAAAGTAAATAAATTTTTTGTTACCATTTTTTCTAGACATTATTTCGTTATTTTTTTCTAGAACATTTATCCGGAACTCTATGTTAATTTTCCATCTCGTCTTACTTTCTGGTGGGTTACGAAGTAAGTATAAAAGGAACGGGAATCGATAAGAGGCAGAATCAGCCCCTCTCAGATCAACTTCATATTCACAGGTGTGATGTAGTTTTTCTCCGTGATTGAAACTAGCCCCTTAAAAAAATCATTTTCACGCCTCATAGTACAAATTTGGGTCTGAGGGTTCTAACACTAGAAATACTACTGGAGAATGATGTTTTCGGCATCGACGGATAGGTGAAATCCATATAAAATGGACTACCATTTACATCGCCCTTTAACGTCAGTGACAAGAACTATTTCATATTATAGAGCTCCGCAAGCTGAATCGAATGGTGAAAACCGCAAGTCTGTAGACTTGTTAGAAAAAAAGCTATAGCCATTTTACCCTCGCAGCAGAAAAATGCATTTTCCGACGGATTTGGCATAACTTGTAGAGAGTCTGCTGACACCATTCCCTAACGCAGAACATTGAAGTTGGTATCAAATGAAAGAGCGCATCGAATTCTATATATTTCGACGGAGAAAAGTTAGGCTTGAGATAGACATTTCGGAAAAATTCGGTTTTCTAGAAAGTCTAGTGATGTTAAAGTTGCTTTTAGAAGCCTTTCAACCATATCTCCGTTCCATGTTCTTACAAGATCTGTTATAAGATAACGTAAGACCTTATGGAATTTTGTAACTTCTTGTCGTAAGATCTTCCGAGAACTGATTATGAGACGTGACAGGATCCTGTAAGATCTTATATAACCTTGTGGTAAGGAAATATAGAGAACTCAACAATGTCTGCCACAAGATTATTTAAGATCTTATAAGATAGATGACTCATCTCTATTGCATAAATTTTGCGCTGATAAACAGTATATATAACATCATTCTCTTTGACAACCTTGAAACTTTTTTCTCTTTTCAACTTCATACGCACAGTGGGCTTATTTGGCTAGAGCAGGCGGAAATGTGCTTTTAAACGACAGATACAAGTGTAAAAATGATGAAAAATATGTTTTCATAGGTTATCGACTATCCTCTATCCAACTGTGAAGTCAGAATGCATTTGTGAAAACTTTATTTTTAGTAGTTTTGCGGAAAACCTCGGTTTTCGGTCGAAATTTTTGAATTTTGTAGAAAGACAGTACAGATACGGTATAACTAGTGCTTGATACAACAAGAGACACTTTTTTGTGTTCAAAAGGTGTAGAACAACCTTTAGAGCATGCAAAAACCACAATTAAGGCTGTTGACAAATTATATACAAATTGATCAACAATTCAATACAATAATTAGAAGCTATACGTCAGCTGAGCACATATAAATTGCATGGTATAAGATCATATAAAATCTTGTAATTTCTTATAAGGTCTTATAATTTCTTACAGCTTCTATCTTTAAGGCCTCATAAGATCATACAAAATCTTGTAATTTCTTATAAGGTCTTATAATTTCTTACAGCTTCTATCTTTAAGGCCTCATAAGATCATATAAAATCTTGTAATTTCTTATAAGGTCTTATAATTTCTTACAGCTTCTATCTTTAAGGCCTCATAAGATCATATAAAATCTTGTAATTTCTTATAAGGTCTTATAATTTCTTACAGCTTCTATCTTTAAGGCCTCATAAGATCATACAAAATCTTGTACATTCCTATCATAAGAAAAATTCTGTAAAATTTTATAAGAATCCTGCTACATTATATGAAATCTTGTGATTTCTTATCATATGATTCTCCAAAGTCGTATATGATATGTAAGATCTTCCAAGATCTTGTTATCTGATCCTAGGATCTGGGATACTAATTATTCTCTTGTCTCTTTCTATTAAAGATTAGTTATTCGAGGTTATAAACGTCCTGTAACAGAAGATGATTGTTGGGATTTAAATCTATCAGAAAGAACAGTTAATATTGTTGAAAGACTACAATATTATTGGAATAGGTGAAAAGACACAAACATAATTACGCTGATCATTTAAAATTCAAATACTTTATCGTTTTCTTTAGATCATACAATCGTCTAAAGAGTCCTGCATATAGAAAACAGAAAACAAGGGAGCATGGCGTTAATAATAATGCCGATGACGCTAACAAAAATCTGGTATTAAGAATTATTTTGCTTTGAAAAACCTATCATAAAAGTACAAAATAATTCAGTTCCAGCTACTTTTTTTTTGTTTTATTTTAGCTCAATCATATGGTATGGGTAAAAAATGTATTTTGTTTTACGATTATACTTATTAATCACTTAATTTTTAGCCAAAAATCGAATTAAAAAGTTCAAAAACTACAAACAAAAAGGCTCCCGTATTTTGGCATGCATTATTTCTCGCCTTTAAAGGAAAACTAATTGCGGGTGGCTTGATGAAATTTATTCTAAGTGTTTTACAGCTTACTGGGCCAATGATATTAAAGTAGTAAACTACTAATTTTTGTTAAAGAACGATTCAATATATGCCTTTTTTCTTCTTTTAAGAAAATTATTGAATTTTATTCATAATCCGTCACAGCCGGTATGGCTTGGTATATTTTATGCTTGTCTATTGGGCTTAGTTGTATTTATTCAAACATTATTTGTACAAGCCTATTTTTATCGACAATTTCTTGTTGGACTCAGATTTCGTTCAGCTGTCACCGGAATGATTTATAGAAAAGTATAATGATGAAAAAGGCGATCAATAATATAAATTTTGCTAAAACTTTAAAATTTTTAGAGTTTAAAATTATCAAATTCATCGAAACAAACGAGTACTACGGGTGAAATTGTTAATCTTATGGCTATTGATGCTCAACGTTTTCAAGAGTTGACATCTCATATTCATATTTTATGGTCGAGTCCAATGCAAATAGTTATTGCTGTTCTTTTACTCTATAATCTAATGGGTTATTCAATTTTACCTGGTGTAGTATTATTATTGTGTATGATACCAATTAATATATTCATACAAAGAATACAAAAGAAGTTAATGGTAAGTAGGAAGGAATGATTACTTTTTGATTTTACGTTGTCACATTTGTGTCTTTTTCTGTTCTCCAGACGAAACAAATGCATTTAAAAGATCAAAGAATTAAAACGATGAACGAAATTCTTAACGGCGTTAAGGTAAGTTGTTACGCTGAATTCAAAAGATAATGGGTCTGGCTAAACTAAAGGAATTGAATTATTATCGCTGACGAAAGGCAAATGTCAGCTTCAAGTTAACACAATTGCCATCTTAACCTTGATTTGCACGTTTAAACTAATATAATCTGACTATGTTCATCGGTTGATTTTCCTGTTGTTAGGTATTGAAACTATATGCCTGGGAGCCGGCGTTCATTCTTCGTATATCGGATATACGTGGAAAAGAGTTATTATGTATTCGTCAAAAGGCGATTGTCAGCGCTATATCGACACTTGTTGGGACATTTACACCAATATTGGTATGTTATTAACGAACTTCTAGAAGCATTTTTTCGCTTTGTTTCTATAATTTAGATTTGCATAACAACATTTGCCGTTTACGTATTATCAAATCAAAATAATGTGTTGGACCCTTCAATAGCATTTGTGGCATTATCTCTATTTAATTTATTAAGACTTCCATTAGCAGCACTTCCAGACGTTATCACTAGTATTGTAGATGTAAGTAGTAGATACAAAAGCCATTTTGAAGAACGTAAAAGATAAAATACTTGAATATTTTCTTGAATATTAAGATGAATGATATGTTTTTATTCGTCTTTAGGCTCGTGTATCCGATGAACGTATATCAAAGTTTCTTTCAAACGAAGAAATTGATGAAGAAGCTGTACAACGATTTTCTTCCAGTGATGGTATGAAATATGCATAAATGCAGTGGTATGTGATGTTGGTAAGAATGTTAATTTTTAGATGAAAATGTAGTTAGAATTGAAAATGGTTCTTTTTTGTGGACGTCAAATGAACAACGCAACTTAGTATTAAAAAAGTATGCGTTTTGTGTTTATTATTTTTTTGATTCACATTAGATCACTTTTTTATTACAGTATCAATATATATATACGAAAGGGCTCGTTGTGTGCGATCGTCGGCAGTGTAGGCAGTGGTAAATCGTCAATATTATCCGCAATATTAGGTGAAATGCATAAAGTTGAAGGTCAAGTAATAGTTAATGGTCGTGTAGCTTATGTACCACAACATGCATGGATTACGAATTCAACATTAAGAGAAAATATTTTATTTGGAAAAGATTTAAATGACAAAGAATATATGCAGGTTATTGATTCATGTGCATTAAAACAAGATTTAGATATGTTACCACATGGTGATCAAACAGAAATTGGAGAAAAGGTAACGCATTTGAATGGGAAATGTGATTTTTAAAGCCGAAGTCTCATCAAGCTCGTTAACGAAAACCCACTTGAGCTCTTCGCCCGCGAGTCAGAAACCTAGCTCAGTCTAGGTCTGATCTGAACCAAATTTTCAGGGTATATTGACCATGTCAAAGTGTGGTAACCAAATTTTTTTTGGCGCTACTTGCAACTGGTCATGAGAAGGCGTAGTAACAAGGGCCAAAAGTAGGTATCTATGATGCGCAAGAATTCTTATCCCAGTTAATAATAGAGAGTTCGGTATTTTTTGTTTTGCGTTAAACGCCTATGCTAGGAGTTAACAGAGCCCGATTTTCGAATTTCTCATCTACTGATTTCTGGTGCTTAATAGAACTTTAAAATTCGAAAAATCCTTGGAAGGTTTCTGAGAAATCTTCATTTCTGTAAAAAATCGAAGCATAATTTAAAAATCGGACTCTGTCAACTCCTAGTAATAGGTGTTAGCATATGATTATATGCTAATTAAATTAATGAGTTTAAATGATAATAAGCTCAAAACTTTATCGTAGATAGAGGACGGTCCGGGGTATAGAATGAGGTATTTTTGAACTAATTATCTCTTAAGCTTAATTAACCAGCAATTGTGAAAAACGGCCGGAAAATGGGCCGTTAGCGGCCTGTTTGAAGCATTTAATATGTATGTATCATGAAGCATGGGAAACGGTCAGTAAACGGTGTCCGTTAACTGACCGTTTTCTGACCATTGACGTTTTCAGACGATTTTTCGACCGTGAAACGGCCGTACTAAAAACGGCAAGTTAACGACTTGTTTTCTGGCCGTTTTTTTGCCGTTGTGAGAACGTTAACGCGCCGTTTTTTGTGTGACCGTTTACTGGACGTTAACGGGCAGTTTCTTCTGGACCTGGATATCCTATCGACACAAAGGCTTAATATGTGCTTGTCTTTCATCTCATAATTGTCTTATGGGCAAATATTTATATTAAACCTATTAGAATATCTCTAACTACGTAGCTATCATATTATCTAGGGTATAAATTTATCTGGCGGTCAAAAACAGAGAGTATCATTAGCTCGTGGTGTTTATAATGATGCTGATTTATATTTACTTGACGATCCATTATCAGCTGTTGATGCACATGTTGGAAAACATATATTTCGACATGTCATTGGACCTAAAGGTTTACTAGCAGGAAAAGTGTGTATGATTCACATATTTGTCGTGTTTCTAAATACTAGTAGCTGTTTGTACATATTCAGACTCGTTTACTGGTTACTCATGGCATAACTCATTTGCATAAATGTGATGAAATTATTGTTGTATCAAATGGTGAAATCGTTGATCATGGAACATACACTGATCTAATCAATACAAGCAGAATATTAAAAGAATTATTGCGCACACATGTTATATCAGATGAAGCAAATGAAAGAAGCGACTCAGGTAGACCGGATTCTTCTTTGTATGACATGTGATTATACTTACAATAAGAAGCAGCCACTTAGATTCCTAAGTAATTTCATCGAAAGAATTTGAGTATTTTAGATTTAGGCAAAGAAAACCAACGTGATTCTACACGCTCAACTAACATTGTTCGATCTCTAAACTATTCCATATTTAGAGCCCAAAACTCCTGTATCACCGAACATTGAAGATATTATTCGTTTTCCTGAAGATGATATTCAAACTGATAAAATACCTACTGAAAAATATCAAAAACATTCGGTACCACCTGAAGTTGATAATGAAGAAAAACAGAAATTAATTAAAAAAGAACAATTGGAAACTGGCAGTGTAATAATATCCCGCTGCTCTTTCTCTTGACTAGGACTATTTCTATTTTTAGGTTAAACTTGCTGTATTTGCCGTGTATTTTCGTGCCTGCAATACAATAATGTGTCTGTTAATATTTGTCTTTTTTTGTTTAACGTCTATTGCTAGTTTATTGACAAATATTTGGCTATCGAAATGGACAGACGGGGCTGAAAATGAACAAAACAACACTGGCTTAAGAGTTAAAGGTTTAATTATTTATTCGGGTCTTGGTATTGCTCATGGTGAGTATCATTTTCAGTTCGCTGTAGAAAATAATCTAGATTTTAATTCCATGTATTAAAACAAACTCATAAAATAAAAAGAAATATTATCTGTGTTAAAAACTAAGGTAGTTCTAGATGGAGCTTTGACTGTCTTTAGTCACCAAGGCTATATCTATTGTTTATTGATTCTTTTAGCCTTCTTCGAATTTTTAACAATATTGTTTCTGCTTGTAATAAGTATTTATATATGAGGGACACTATTTAAACACTTTTTTTATCAAATCTCATGCAATTTTCATTCAAGTCTTTTGAACAAACACCCTATGGCATTATCAGAATCGTTGTTCATCCGATTTTTGTTTGTTCGCTATAATAACCGTTAGTACCACCTAAATACGATTGTTCGGGTGTTAACAGTTGACATGAATACAATGGGTGTGTCATAATAAATAAGCCTCTCCATATTTTGACCATAAATTTTTATCTTCTCAGCTTTTAGACCTGATTGTTTTTCTAAAAGGTGGCGTTTTTTCAGCTTTTTTCAATAGCTAGTAAAGAGAAAAATAAAATAAGCATTTTGCAGCCCTTGAAAAACTCTTTCGACTAGTGATAAGTGAAAAAATTTCATCCCAATCTTTGAGACTTGCACCGATCTTATTCTCATTGAGTTTTCGGAAAATTTAATTGTTTGACTCAATACTTTCGCAATTCCTAGAAAAACACACATAACTAAGCGAAAATGAGCTTTTTTCAAGGGGGATACTGCGGACTTTAGACATTAGCGGACTTGGGAGGACTTGATCAGACTTACGAAGACTTCACCGAACTTTAAAGTCCCCAAAGTCCGTTCAACTCGGCGGACTTTGGGGACTTTAAAAGATCTGAGAGGACTTTAAAGTTCGCAGTTTATCCCTTGACTTTTTTGAGCCCGCGTTCTTTTTGTTTTGATGGAACAGGACAACTGGATGACATTCACATTTACCTACAAGTTTCTTCTTAGTTTCAAAGATCGGCAACTATACAAGATTTTGTTGGTTTTTAATGGAATTTTGAAAAGTTCAGTTTGTCGACGTTTACTTTAATTTGAACGAACTTTGAACTATATGAAGAGGAAGAGCATACTTCAAAGTACTCAGAAACATCTAAACTTTTGTTTCGTTGTCTTGAGAGTTGTTTAAAATATTCTTAGGTTGATAGAACAAAACAACTACGAAAGTTGGTCCGCTTATACATGTTGTATTTTCTTTGTTTAATTCTTTTCCTTAACTTACTATAGAGAAATGTGATAATAGTTGCAGCTGTTTTGAACTTCATATCTTTATTTGTTGATATTTCGACCTCTTTATAATGATTTGTAATACAAATTATGCAATTATTATCACATTTTTGACTCGAAAGTCGTTGCTCTCGTACAGAGATTTTTACTATAGAGAAATATTTGATACACGTCTTATAGAGAATTCGATAGCGCATCTTTTGGAGAAAAAAATCAGGTCTAAAAGTTGGGAAGGTGGTTTAGTTATACTACTTATTCTCCACTTGATACTAAAGAAAAGTTTTAGATAAATTAATAATTTTATCTCTGAAACTTTCTCTCATGCCTTAGTTCTATATGAAGTTTCTTGTTATTATATAAATACGTAATGCTTGTTTGACATAATTAGTTTGCCGAAGTTGTGCTTTTGCTTAGTAACTATTAAAAATATATTTTGTGGATGTGATTGACAACTTCTTTTTTGTTGTAGGCTCATTGACATTTATCATGCAACTTCTTTCACGTCTCTCTGCTTATCATGCTGGTAAAAAATTACATTATGCGATATTAAACGGTGTTCTCCATGCTCCAATGTCGTTTTTTGATACAACTCCTCTTGGTCGAATTGTCAATCGATTTTCGAAAGATATTGATTCCGTTGATTCGTCATTGCCCAATTCACTTTCGTTATCATTAAATACAATGATTTCTGTTGCAGTCACAATGATCATTTTAATCTATGGCTCTTATTTTTCTATCATTGCATTGATACCATTAACCATCCTATTCTTATTTATACAAGTACATATACCATACATGGCAGAATATATGCGTCTAGTATAAAGATGAGAGTGAGCCGCTTCCATCTTTACATCTAGATGCATCGACTTTATACTAGATGCATATGTTTTGCCACCCCTCACATATACACAAAATCGACAAGAAAAATAAACATAAAAATTTGTAGTACAGTAAAACCCCTCTATTGTGAGCATCACTGGAACCGAACAAAAGTGCTCACTATATGGAGGTGCTCACCATCAAGAGGTTTCCAGTTTTTTCCCTCTTCCGTGCACATGTTTTAGCTTTTCATCTGTTTTTCTGACGCATTATCCTGTATTTTTCTTTCTTACTAGTTTATTTAATGCATTCTCCTCTTTCTTTCTAAAAAGCGTATTTCCTCGAATTAAAAATGAGTTTTTTCAAATAACTTTTTGGTTCATTTTGAACAACAACTTTTGGATTTCATCAGCATCAGTTAATTTTGATTTAAGCGCACTGTGGAGCTTGAGAAAGTTAGGTGGTTGAGTTGTTGCAGACAAACGTACTCCTCTAACCGTTTTCATTGCTTCTGAAGTGTATGGTGCAGTTTTTCCAAGGGAGAAAAGCGTTTTGGAATGGTATAGAATGGTACGGAATGGATTGGAATGGGCCATTCCAGGCCATTCCATACCATTCCGCCTTTTCTCTCTTGAGTTTTTCGCTAAAAGGTAAGCCAGAAAAAGATATTCTGAATGATAAAACAAGTAAAAGACGAGAGAGGCAAGTGTATATGAGGCTTCTTTATTCTCTCTTTCTCGACTCGACTCAGATGTGCAATATTTGCACTCATTCTCTGTAGAACTGTAGAACGCGAAAACGCATTCACACACCCTTTTATCAGTCTGCGCTTGATTTTCCCTAAATATTATGCTCATATTTGAGAAGTTATTTTCGCTTACAGTACGGGAAAAGAGCCGATCACTCACAGAATAGGGAGGTGGGCAGATTACAGAGGTTTCTTCCAAGCAAAAATCGCCCCGTCGTACCATAAACTGCTCAGTATAAGGAGGTTTTACTGTACTTGCTTTAAACTTCTCATTTTCAAAATTGTTTCATCTACATAAACTAATTCGTTATTTTTCTCTTTTTCAGCGTGTTTATGTTGCTTCTTCTCGTCAATTACGACGACTTGATTCAATCACTCGTTCACCTGTGTATTCAAATTTTAGTGAAACTATTCAAGGTTTATCAAGTATTCGAGCATACAATGCTCAGCAACGTTTCATTAATTTATCCGATTATTTGTTAGACAAAAATCAGTCATGTTATTTAGCCAGCTGTGTTACTAATAGGTATATCTATTGAAAAAAATATTAAGATTCATTAATTAATAATTTATTTTGTTCATGTTTTATAGATGGTTAAGTCTCCGTTTAGAAACCATAGCGAGTCTTTTGACATTATTAACGAGTTTATTTGCTGTATTAATGAGAAACAAACTGTCAGCAGGAACTGTTGGGTTAACGATAACATATGCGATGCAAGTAAGAGAGAATTACAATTGATTGCGTAAATGATTTTGTATCTGTCATTTAGCGTAAACTAGAACTGATAGTGATCTTTCTAAATGAAAAAGTATGGATTTTAACTTATATTACCTCACTTGTTTAGATTGCCCAATCGTTAAACTTGATAGTTCGTATGACATCAGATATTGAAACTAATATTGTTAGTGTCGAACGTATCAATGAGTATTCACAACTTGAAAGAGAAGCACCATGGGAAATTCTAGATACAAAACCACCTTCAAATTGGCCATCTAATGGTGAAATTCAATTTGTTCATTTATCAACACGTTACAGAGATGGTCTCGAACTTGTTTTAAAAGATTTAACAATTGATATTCAAGCAGGAGAAAAGGTAAGACAGTATTTCAAATTAAGAAGAGAAGTTTTTTAAAACAATTTATCACAAATCTAGATTGGAATTATTGGTCGTACGGGTTCAGGTAAATCAAGTCTTTGTCTTGCTCTATTTCGTATCATTGAACCTACACAAGGTAAAATTATCATTGATAATATTGATATCACTCAAATTGGATTACATGATGTTCGATTAAAAATTACTATTATACCACAAGTAAGAAGTTGCATTGTCAGAGACGAACAGTCAGACTACTTGGTTTTGGGATTTTAGGATGCTGTTATATTTGCTGGCACATTACGTTTTAATTTGGGTAAGTTTTAGATTAGTAAGTGTTTGACTAGTCTATCATCATCGTTGCATGTATTTCAGATCCATTCGGAACTTATACTGATGAAGAAATTTGGAATGTATTAGAATTAGTTCATTTGAAACATCGTACATCAACATTAGAAAATGGTTTATCTTATCAATTGACGGAAGGTGGTGAAAATTTAAGGTAAGATTATAAACAGAAAGTAAAAATATTTTTTCATCTTTATAATATTATTTAGTGCTGGTGAAAAACAATTATTGTGTCTAGCACGTGCTCTGCTACGTAAAAGTAAGATATTTGTACTTGATGAAGCTACTGCTGCTATCGATATGGAAACAGATCGATTAATACAACAAACAATACGTTCAGCATTTAAAGATGCAACAGTTTTAACAATTGCACATCGTTTACATACGATATTAGATAGTACAAGGTATTTATTCAAATATCATAATCAAGCAATAATATGATTTAGAATCAAAAATATTTTTAATTTTGTATTTAGAATTCTTGTTCTTTCACGTGGGCGTCAAGTTGAATATGACAAACCAATAGTGTTAGCAGCAAATCCAAAATCAGCATTTAGTAAATTGTTATTGGATGCTAGTATTTCACCGTCCGAATTACATAAAATGACTTGAATTATTTGTCGTTTATCTTGACTACTATCTGTATGTTTTGTAATTAGTATGATATAGGTAATTAATATTTCTTTATATTACACGCAAATAACTTTAATATCGAAATTCTAGTAGTGTATTTTTATCTTTTATACCATATGACATCTATGATGAAAAAACTCAGTTTTCTACCAGCTAGATAAATAGTGCATATAAAATAGTCTACTGCACAGAAATAATTCTAACTAACTTTTTTGTGCAATCATTCATTACATCTCGCTGAGCACATAATAATTTCATGTAAAATAGTTGGATTATAAGAAGAACAAAAAGAAACAAGTAGCATTCATCATTCTGATTCACTTATCGCTTGATTGGAGAGGAATCGTCAATATGAGTCGCTTGCTTCGGCGTGCATTCCCTAACTGGCCGAAGCAGTTTTTTCTTAATGATTACTTATCATGAGCTGGAGTTATTTTGGTTATACACCTCACAGACATGATACTTACCCTAGCTCAAACAGAACAGAATAAGTGAGAAATATACTTATCTGTTGATATGCGCTGATAGCAAAATACACTACGCCCGCGATAAGCGAGTGTCGAGGTTCGAAACTCGTCAGCGCTTAATTCTTATTAATATTTTCCTTTATTATGCTGCAACTTTATTTTAATCTTTTTGCTGGAGTATCGGCCATACGTCGGAGCCAAACTAGTGCCGATCCGCTCAGTCGACCATGGGCTACAAAAGCCCACTAGTCACAGGTTGGCAGCACCTCAAGAAAAAAACGCCTATAGGTTGATATGAACGAGCTAATTTAGTTACATCATGATACGATGTGCCACTAATTCTAACTCTTTTTGTCACTTTATTTTGCCCGTACCTTCTGTGACAGAATTATCATAAGCAGTTTCTTCAGTTATGTGAAGATCATCTTTATGCTGGGTTCAGAACATGCAGGGATAATTTAAAGCAAATTCAGCGAGGCCAAAGACATAGACTGCATTCATTAAATCACCTCCCAGTTTAAGCTTTACATCAAGGTCTCTTGATTTATAACATGTACGTTTTACTGAACGTATATCATCGATGAACTCTTGCGGAAGACTTTTTGGTGTTATGTTCTTCTAAAACAGGAGCATTAGGTACTATATTTTGAATGAAATCTAATGGAATAGTAACGGATGGAAGTAAAGCTGTTCTGTTACCATCATTATCAGATGAAACAAATATGGAGAGTATATAAACGGATAACAGAGTTGGACGATGAAGTTTTTCTCTTGTAACCAAGAGTGAAACGGTATTTTGGCAAGCTTTCACAACAGCTCCTTGACTTGCAGTTTGTTTATTCGCTTTTAAAGCATTCAAAGCCCTTGCGTGAATGTTCGTCATAGCCCTGTAATTTTGTAAGGACTCGAGAAGTAAGGTGCAGTTAAAGCGCACAAAGCTCACTTACGAATACTTATCCTTTCAAACTGAGGAATACCGTAAGCTTAATAATAGTAATAATAACTAATCACCAAGCCATATGAAAAAAAGGATTTCATCGAACGAAGTTTTTGTTAAGATGCATGCATTGAAAAAAGAATTTACCCTTAAAATATATTATATTGTACAGGCAGTTAACGAAGCAGCAGTCAAAAACGCGCCATCATTTCAACAGACATTCTGATTTAAATCAACGAACAAATCTTCAATTCATTTTGCAGCATCAGAAAATGACAAAAAATTTTAGACGAACTTTAGCAGCGCTTGAGAAACATGCTGAATAAACTGTGGGTAAATGATTTTTTATCAAATACATGTAGCATATGAAAATCAATACAAAAAATTACTTCACACAGTATTCTGAGTGATGAAAAGGAATTTCTATAGCGATAGCCATGCATGGCACTATATAAATCGCCGACTTAATCTGTTCCTTCGGACGCCTCTCCAAAATCAGGATTACACAGCTTCGACAAAAGCAGAATATCTAAACACAGCTTACCTCAAGAAATTATAACTGGAGCTTAATATCAGTGAGAGTAATAATCGTCAAATATTTAATCGGGAAAAACGAGTTTCTTCACTAAATTATGTCCACGTTTGATCTCAATGATGTGATACGATTTGATTTATAAGACGAAAGATGAAAACAAACGATCTCTTCTGAACAAGAAGTGTGTGTATTTTCAAGTATAACGGGAAAAAAGCGCGTAATTAAAGAATAAAGCACGTCGAATAATATATAAACACACATTCTTTGTTCTTCTGTCTTACGTTTTCGTAGTACACAGAAAAGTATGTCACAAAAAAATATGTGATACTCGAGTCGAATAATATATAAACACACATTCTTTGTTCTTCTGTCTTACGTTTTCGTAGTACGCAGAAAAGTAACACACTCGAGGGTCATAGATATCGAAGCAAAAAAGTAAGTTTATTTCTTAGCAGCCATTAATATAAGTCAGTCGCGTAAGGAAAGCCGTCAAAAATAATAGAATACGTACTTTAAACTAGTACAAAAAATGGAGATGGGTCTTTTCTAATTAGCGTAAGTTTAGTTCGCGATGTTCGTGCAATACGACATATGTTTACAGTGAACACTCCCTCCTTGAGTATATACAAAACGAACATTTGATGAAAATATAAAATCTGTTCTTTTTTGAGTTTATTCTTTAAAGAATAAGACAGAAAAATATCTGAACTTATGAAGATGTCGGTTAAAAAAACAAATACATTGTAAGTAGAGTGCCTTGGGGTAATTATGGTCAATACAGCAAAAATGGTTGCGATCATCTTAAGCTGACTTAGTTTCAACGGGGAATTTTAAGGTAAATAATTAAAAATGATATCATCTTGTAGAGAATTTCAAGCTCTATCACCTGTATGAATTGCATGCTATTTGTGCTTGCCGTTAATTAATTAATTAGAAACTATGAGAATGCGTGTTTTTCGAAAAAAAGTCACTTGAGGTAATTATGGTCACTCAGCTATTTTTCATGGGGTAATTATGATCAGTCCGTGTAATTTGCACGGAAAAGCCAGAGTTTAAATGCCACCGACTTGCAGAGACCGATTTTACATCAATGACAAATAGAGAAATTATAGAGGAGATTGTTCTCTATTATATGAAGTGAAAACTGGAACAAGATCGCTTGGTTCTAGCGATTTGTAGCCGTCTGATGAGTTTGCTGTATTTTAGCACATTTTTGTACCTGATTTTTGACAGTCCAATTAAGGTGGTACCTGTAATAATTATGTAATTAAAAAAGTGTTGAACTTTTCATATTCTCCAGATACTCTTCTCTCTCTTGAGTAAAACAAAAATTTCAAGACATAAGTTTTGACTCGAATTATGTAGTAGTTGATTCAATGGCCTGAAGATGCCGTCATGAAATTC